TTCACCAGCGGCGCCAGCTTGGGAAAAGCCATCGCTGTGCGGATGCCGCTGACGCGGTATCCGTGACCGTTCACATCTACGCGACAGCCGACCGACAACTTCGGTTTTTCAATCGATGACTGTAGTCGGGTTTTGACCACTTCCAAAGGACACGTCACTGCCGCACTGATCGTCCCAGCCACCCTACATAACAAATCGTTATAAGATATGAGGCAATGAAAAAATATAACTTACCCTCCTCCGACAAAATGAGTCATTACTTCATTACTCATTGCTAGCTACAGGTCTTCTTATGCTTATTCTTCTCTTTCAATTTCAGCTTCTTCCCACTAGGTACGACTAACTACAATCAAGATCGATTAATGATAAATAAAGCCAGTCTTTTCTTCTGACACAAAACAAAAAAGTAACTGACATTCTCAGCTCGTAAAAAGAAGTTTAGCAGTTATTCCCAGAACATCTTTTATTACGCGAAAACACTCAGTGACAAACACAACGGATTCTCTTCTTTCTCCTTTACGACTACAAATGGATCCGTAGCACTTCACCTGTGAAGAACAAACATTTATGTTCGGTCAGCAATGCATGAGTTTTCATGTGTTGGCCCTGCAGATTTCTTTTCCAACGTGCGGCATGTTGCTCATGCTCGAAGACCCTTCTCCTATGTGGGTTAGCCGCCCACCTTATGGAGTTATATAAGCTTAATAATACATATTATAAATTCAAGATTACCCTCTATTTCATACGGTTTCGTGCTAAGAATATTGCTGCAGTATTAGCGCTATGGAAAGAAAGTCAGTGTCATCTTTGATTCAAACACGGAGCCATTTTATAGTCATGTACCCTTCTCATTGGCGCCAATGACACTAATTTCTTGTCCACATTCTGATATAATCAGTCTCGCGTAGATCGTGTGATACTGCAGTCACACTTTCCCTACATGGATGCAAGCATTTTCTCGAACCTGACCAAACGAAGCAGTGAAACGTACAGGAAGTCAGCTGTAATGTTCCTTTAACTGCACTTGGGAAAGGAACTGAATTTTTTGTTTGTCACCGTTCGAATATCGATCTTCCTTCACTTTCATGATTGGGCCATTTTGGCGCCCTTCTTTTCACGAAGCTGATGGTGCGGAGCTGATATCGGTTTCTATGCGATCAGCCAGGAGTGCCATATTTTAAAGGAAAAGTCTACAGACACGTCGCTAGCGCAGCATGTAGTATGATGTTTTCTTCGCACAAAGTGGTACCTATTTATCCACCTCGGAAGTAGGAAATTTAAGTGACCTCGCTCGGGTCTCGAACTGGACCTATCGTTTCTGATTTCTATCGTCTGAGCAACTCCAGCTTTGTGGCAAATTTCTTGTTCAAAGAAATTCCCAATTAAGAAGAAAATTGCCCTCAAGCGAACTCGAACCTGGGACCTCCGGAATTGAAGCTCTGAGACACTGTGCCACCACACCAATTAAAAAGAGTATCATACGCTACTGGCACAAAAGACAGACTGAACGCTTATGGCTGCATGTATAAACTTTCCAGATGGTTCATGTCTCGTAAGCGTAACCGTCGATAGTAAACAAAATCTATAAAATAATACATTTGCCACGATAAACATTTAGAGAATCAATCGAGAAAGATGACATAATCTACCATGCAAGCAAGAATCGCATGGAAAATACTCAAATTAACTAATAACTCATC